GCCGAGGCGGAGGTGGTGTAGTGACAAGTGGATTCGAACCCGATGCCGCGCTTACCACTCGCGCGGCGCCGGGTTCGAATCCCGGGTCGACACCCGCCCAGGCCAACCAAGCCTTCTACCCTCCGGGGACGGTAAATTGGTACCAGATTCGTCTGGGAGGATAAAACACTGACTTGTACATCGGCTGGCCACCGCAAGTCATTGTATAGGCCACATCGCATTCAATAAGCCACTACGATTCTGAATGGAAGTAGAATGCGTGCCGCATCCCACAGGGATTGATCAACGGCGAAGACTTTATCCTTTTATTATGTGCCAGTCGCGCTCCTCCCTCTATGATGGCTTCGCCGGGCAGGCGTGACTTCGTTGCGTTTTATTTCTCTCGTTGTGTTGGTTAATGCTTGGCATATCTCTCATCTATACACATGGTCAAAGCGTCCTCGTCCAATAGCATCTCACCTATTTGTTTCAATGCTAATAGCATTTATGTGCTCCTGATATACAGCGTCAATCAAGTGCACATGGGAGATATATGGAAGGCGAACGCGCGGCGAAACTGGGCCACAGGAAGGGGTGCCGGCAATCTGACGGGCATCATGTGTTTCTACGGTGGTGACTGAATGGAATGGATGATGAGGGTATGTGAGACAGATAAAAATTTCTGTCTGAAGTGCTCTATAACTGATTCATGGGTTCCTGAGTTTTGCCGAGCCAGATGGGGTGCATTCCTCCCAGTGCGGGTGTGTTTCCGCCACCCACATCCTTTCTCTCGCTTGCTGTTTCACTCACTCATGTGTGCAGGCTGTTATGGGGCAGAAATACGAATTTTGGCCTTTGTCTCATACATCTCGGCGCACGCTCCAGTCACATCCCCCAGTAGCATGTGTGTCTTCCTCTTCTCATGCGCTGACCCCTTGCTAACCTTGATCCACCATTTCCGGTCTTTGAAATGCTCTGGAGCCAATTATGATTTTTTTTGAAATAGGTGCGCCATGCTAGGACAACTCTTTGTGGGCCCCTCTCAACACAACACAGACAAGCTCGATCTAAAGTTGTTCCTCTCTCCATCGATTTTTTCGCGTTTTCCGAACTCTCTCGAGGATTGAGTTACGGAATTTGTGAGAAGCACCACCACTTCGGGTACATCCACCCCCGTTTTGTATGTGTCTCCCACGTTTAGTCTGTCAACTACTTGCTGACCTTGATCCACTTTCTCTAGCCACCCGTGCTGCTCTGAAACGGATTTACGAATTTTTGAACTCGGCCCGCCCATTTCGGTGTGCGCTCCGCGCTGAAGTTCTAGTTTAGTAGTTGCAGTTCTGGCCCCGTGCTGACCGTTTTTTCCGGTTTGTACAGTGCTCTGGAAATGAGAAACATGAAACAACTGTTTGAAATGAGTAGGTCGTTCCTGAAAGCACGCTGCGCCCATTGTGGGCAGTTTCAACATACCAAGGTTATAATAGATTAATACCACATCATGTCCACACCGCATGTCAACTGAAAATGTGCCCTTCGGAACCTTTGGAACCCAAGGGCACGTTTTCAATTTTGGCTCCGCCTACCCAGACAAAAATAGCGAGGATGTCTTTTGGAATGTGGAGCACTTTTTAAACGGGTTGCCACATGATGTAGGCATACATCATGAAATATCAAATCCTTTCATCATCAAGCTTCTTCACCAGCACTTTTCCCCGACCCTTAAGGTGTTTCGAAACCGAATAGTGATTCTTCGCAAAAAACAAACATTCGGTGTATGCCACGCGCACTGCGTGCGTCTCTCCCTCATTTTACCTGCCGGTCCGTCGCTGCCGGCCCATTGCTGACCCTCACTTATTTTTCTCACAAGGAAGAGGATGGTTGGTCGAAGTGGCCATTTAAGACAAGATGTATACTCACTGATGCGTCTTCGGACGCTGATTTCAAATCTGCTTTCCATATCTGCTGAACGATTCTCTGAGCGGAGATATGCAGGATGGTACACAGATCAGACGTGCCAGCGATCCGACTGGTACGTTCATAACGTACACGGAAATTAGCTGCAGCCTGTTGGGACAGGCCCACTGAATAGAAGCATTGCCCTTAACTAATTAACTTGAGTTCAAGACATCGTGATTTCCTCGCTCCCTTTAAAAGGTTTACTTGGTTTGTAGGGGGAAGTGCTCACCTCACGGGGCCCATCATCTTCCCGTAAGCCCACCTAACGAATGCCTCATTAAGAAGCACTTCACTTACGGACTTACCTTTAATCGCTGTAGGTTATGTAAAATGTGTTTGCGTTAAGATGTTTATTTAATGGGTGTTCATTGTAGTCTGATATTGGCTCCAATTGACGTATACTATTTACTCCTTGTTTAATTATCGATTAACCCTATACGGAGCTACGTTGTATAATATTGAGTATTGGTTGTTTAGGTGTTTGTTATTCAGTGCTATTGTGTGTTTCAAAACGGCCATCGAAGAAGTTCATCATACGAGTTTCTCATAATACGATTGTACCGTTTTTAGTTTGCAATCATCTCTGTATTGTTCTATCTATTCATTGTGACTTCAAGCGTCCATCTTAGTAGGCGCCCACCTTCATACAAGTAAATGTTCATTTTAGTGGGCGTTTCATAGTTTCATTTGAAGGCCGAAAAAAACGACGCCCCCCCGCGGCAACAAAAAGGGGGGGGCGTCGTACCGTAACCCCAAACCACTAGAGGCCGGGGTTGGGGCGTCGCTCACCAAGGCTCGACCAAGATCCCCATCGAATGCTGGTGCTCTTTAACCTAGTGGCAGCAGGTAGAGCGCAAAGTAATTCCCAAGCTGCTTTCCCTTATTGTGTAATCTCATCGTCCGATATACAAAACTAGTTAACAATGCAGGTGCTGAAATTATGTTTCGTACTCAGAAACGGTAATTATTGATCTTGTGAGTTTTGAGCTTCGATCGGATGTACATCAGATGTGTGTGCCGATGCGCTTTACACAAACTACTTAGACCGGTTTCATACCTTTCGATCAGCGCCACTTTTCCACCAGCTACTCGGGCCAACTTTATCCATTCCCAGGATCCCAGCACATTCTTGCTAATGCCATTTCTTTCAGTTGATGCACCCCTGATATAGCTCCGTGCCTTTAGCTCCAGGATTGGCAGATTCGTAGTCCCCAACGGTATGCTATTCAGCTCGCTTGACGCGTAGATTAGAAAGACCTAGCTGACCCTTACCTTCTTCTCTACAGATAGATATATCTTGGTCATTGTATTACTGTACTCCCCTCGCCTCTCTCGGTAGGGCTACCTGCTGCGGACTTCTTACTCTTCTTCAGCCGGCTATTTCCAATCGTTGGGTATTCTTACCTCGTTTCTTGGGTCTTCGTCAACTACTGTATTTCATCCGTCATATCCCTTGTTCGCCTGGCGCGCCACGGCCTGGGCCACTGCTCATTATCAATCCAGAGTACTCAAGTGATATGCGGTCCTAACCCGTGCATCACAGAATCTCCGCCTTTCGTCTATAACGCCTGCGTCCTCGGCCATTGAGGCGACAGAATCTTATGATGGACGCACCACATATATACCGCGGGGCTTTAGAAAGCGGCCCACTAATATGCTTAACAGTACGCTCAGATAGGTTCAGAGTAGCGACCTTTACAGCGTCGCGTCTTTAACTGAACGGTCGCTCGCTACAGCATCCTCGCGTCGGGCGCTCGCTCTACTGGGCGTCGCTGACTACTGCGTCTCTTACAGAGCTACCGTAGTTCCGCTACCTAGCGCTCAGCGTGGGTACAGCGCTACCCCGCGCTCTTTAGCGTCCGTCCGCTCCTAAGTGTGCGCTCAGCGCCTACAGCGTCGCGCATACATACAGTCGCCGACTACAAGCCCTCTTGTTTACCCTCTAAACTCACAGCGTTTTTCGTTTATTTCTCGTATCTCTATTTACTTCACTCCTACTTCGTTCTATTGCTTTCTGCACAACCACCTCATTTTATCAATTCGATCGTGAGCCATCCCCTCGATTATATCTAGCTGTTCCTGATCTATATCCATTTTCACTTTGTAGTGGTTATGTATAACATGAACACGATCCGTCGTAGATAATTAAGTTTTAATCTCATGCGTTTTTGACTTTAATTATTGGGGTTTCACAGTTGCTTGATGTTTAATGCGCGTGTGTCTCCTCGGCAGTGTCTTGCTATGTCGCTTCGCCATTCGTTCGTCCTTATCCCGTATTTGCGTGCCACGTAGCATTATATCCACCATATCGTGCCTCAATACTTTAGAAAAGGACACAGCGTGATGTTCCGTACATCTATTTTAGATAAATATTGAGACAGAACACAAAGAGAAGAGGATTGAACATACATGTATAATATAGACAAGATAGGAATTACAGAATCAAAATGCCACGCGCTCTCAGTTCCGACCTTCTATTGCGAGACGAGATCTCGCGCTTTATTTCACGACGTGTTGTTCCCTCGCGACCAGAGTCTCTTACTCTCGGAACTCCATTCAGTTGGAAAAAATTTAAGATTCTCACTCGCCGGTTTTCGAGGCATCGTCACCCAGCCCATAACGCACTTTAAGGCACCTGGACAGTGTTTCTTTGTACGCTTTTTTTTCGATTTTTTCAGGCACTCTCTCGGCCTTTTTTTATTATTATCTTATCAAGTAGTGGTCACCCTCCTGACACCCACCAAAAGTGTTCCCGTCCTGCCATGTATATCACTTCTTGGAACTGTCATCCTATCTTTTCTGCGACGCTCGCTATGAATTTCGTGACACACACACACACACACACACACACACACACACACACACACACACACACACACACACACACACACATTTCGCGATTATATATAGTATAGGATGGGGTGATGGTTCACTGAACTGTCAATTTCAGTATAAAGTGACTGGCTTTTGAACCTGAACCCAGGATGCCAGCAATTTCCATATTTCCTGCAACGTGCAATAAATCCCATCCCTCTTTAATATGCAATTTCACCTGCGCGGTTTCAATGAAATTCTACTTGCTTGATTTCAATCGAACCTTTTCTTCAGTTGTCTTGGTAATTGTCCTCCACACCAATTGTAGCTCCAAGGGTTGTGCACATCGATCGACATGAAACTTTGCAGTGAACATTGCAGGATCAAACGGACGCTGTAGCTGCACACACACACAGAGGTATAGAATTCCTCGAAAGACTAGGTGCTTTCGCTAAGGAGCGGGCTATGATTGAAGAGGAATATGCCGCTAAATTAAGGTATGTGTATGTAAGTTTATGTGGAATATTCATTGAGCGATTATGTTTCAGAACGCTAGCCAAGAAATCTCTTGGTAGGAAGAAAGAAGATGAAGAAGCAGCTAAGAGTTTCACTTATGTGAGGTCATTTGCGAATCTGCTCCACGAACTAGAGCTACTTGCTGGTCAGCATGAGGTGTGTACTGTGTAACTATGATATTAATGACCAGTCGCTGAGCGCTCCTCCTTCTTGTGTCATTGGTAGACTCCGCCGAACCGGCCTGGCTTCGCCAAGCGCTTTACTTTTGGACGAGTTAAGATGCGAAGTGTGCTGAGTGGTCGCAATGCATTTTTCGGGCGAAAATGTAGGAGTAGGAGATTAAGCTGAAATGAGCTTTATATCAGTCATCAGAAAGAGCACAGCTCATCCCTCTCGTTAATTCTTGACTCTTAACCAGAAGAGAAGGCTACACCGTTTAGTCAGTGACCGTAGTGATGATATGAGAAGAGGTTGACGTAGAAGTAGACCATGCGCAGTGTAACATACAGCGCCTTGACACCTCTGAAGGAGGTATAACTTCATAGCCGTTGGTGGCAGCAAAAGAGAAAAAGAGAGACTTCACCTTATTTTGTCTATGTCAAAGTGTGCGTCTGCGTCGCATTAGGAACCTGGAACTTACCACCGACAGGACGTATTCACCCTGAACCGTTGGTTCGCTTCCTCATTTTCCTTGGTCGTGGCCTAGCTATTCTAAAACATCATCGTTGTTGAAAACATAACCTGGACGATTGTTCATTCATTTCCTGGTTCATGCGCTTTTCATATCCCCCCCCCCGCTCAACATCGACATGGTTAGCCATATGCGTAGAAGTGCAAATACTTGGAGCACTCCTATCAAACGTATTGATTCTGATTCTCGATTGATTCCTCGATTCTATCGTGAAATTCACTGAATAGCCGATAGATTTCGCACTGTTTCTACCTTGTTAAAACTCTGCCACTTAAAAAAGTGGTAATGTTGTTCATCATGTTCTCTCAGTGGTTATCCCGTTCTCTTACCCATCATCAAAATTTCCATCACATCCGCTATTTCACCTGTTGGAACCAATCTCCACCTGCTGCTGCGACCCGAGAATCGGGTGACTTTTTAGTTGTAACGACCCTTATCAAACACAACCGGCTACTATTACTCCCTCTCATCCTCCTATAATGTTCAACTTCTGCCCTGCGTAGCACTTTCTTTCAGCACCCGATAATATTCCCGTCCCCTAAAACGATGCTGTAACTCAGAACAAGGGGGAATCGTCGCAAAGTTTGCTGCTATACTGTGCGGCGGTGTCACAGGAGTAGTTGAAGCGGAAACCTGAAAATCATATCGGATGTCTCCATTTGATCTGATTGGGACCATGGCGATGATGAGAACGAAGGTTGTTCTAGCAATGCTGAGATTAGAAGCGTCGTTTACTTTGGCACTTCGGCCGTTGAGAGGGATGAGGTATATCTGCGTTCTTCTTCTTGTGTTTACTGTGTGCATAGCAGAGATGTTTTTCATGGCTAGGCCACAAGAACTATGGAGTACCCTAGAAGTTCTTAAAACGTTCGCGGCGACGTGTACGCCCGGGAGTGCACGCGCCTATTCGCTTGTTTTTGATACTTTCTTTTCCTTTTTCACAACGAACTGGATACAGATAATCAACAAACAATAGGGAAATAATATCTACACATTAACAGAGGCGTGAAAATAAAATACTCCACCTGAAAAAATACTCAGAAACATTTCTCTTCGACGTGTATTCCCAGGAGTACGCGGGCCTCTTCGCTCGTTTTTTCTTTTTCGCTAATAACACACATTGTGTACATGTAAACAAACAATAGATAAGTAATATCTGTACATCAGAAGAGGCGTGTACTGCTGAAAAAAACACGCGAAAACTCTTCATTTTCGGCCAATGGTGCACTCACAGGAGTACACGCGCCTCTTCGCTTGCTTTTTTTTCATGATTTTTTTCTCTTAAGACTGACAGTTGTATACGAAAAGTAAAATAGACGATATAGAAGTAATTTCGAGAAGTACTATCATTTACATTAAATAACACACATTAGCATTAATATTAAGAAGATATCAACATCTTCTTTGTCCGGTTCCAGCCAACTTCAAAAAGGGCAAGAAACCTAGTTCATTTACCGAAAATTAGTTGAAGCTTGCAGAAGGGAAAAAATGCAGGAAGAGTGGCAGAAAAACGACTTGGTGAGTTTTGGCAAAATTATATCCGTCGCGAGCGCGCTGAACTATAAACGGGACGATTGCCTTAGTGTCGCCTGCCGCGAACGCGCCGCTCGAGAAACGGGAGTTTTTGGCGAAACGCCGCCGCCGCGAACGTGTTATTGATGATATCGTGTTGACGATCATGATGAACAAGGTTGCGCTGAATCAAAGACGATGTTTGAGGAAGCTACGGAGATTGAAAATGAGCAATAGGAGGTGAAGAAACTTGAGGAGAAGTGCAAGGTGAATTGGCGGCAGGCATGTAGAATGTATACATTTTAAATTCACGAGTTTTAAACCGAATTCTCGAATTTTCAAAGCGAATTCACCACTTTCCCCAGCCCATTTCGCGCATTCCAATTTGAGAGAACATGCTTAAACATGCCACACTAGACAATAATTAGCAGGGTTGATGTCTCAACTTGTAGGTCAGAGGGTCACTCGTCACTCGGAGCAGAAAAAAGAAGAGATGCAAATTGCCTGTTTCTTGTTTTTTTTCCGTTCCAAGTGATGAGTGGGACTCTGACCTACAGGGTGAGGCTGCAACCTTGAATTTTGAGGGATTTTTGGAAAGTGTGCTGGCTTTTACGAAAAGGGCCAACCTTTCCGTAGTAGTCAAAAATGTTAAAAATTCAAAAAGATCAAAGTTTTGCAAAAAGATGCAAAAGCGGGCGCGGCCCAAAAGGCGGAGCTTAGTGTGTCAGGCAGTAATGCGCGTCTTGACATTCTTGACATTTCCGTCATGAAGACTTGTGCGAGTTTGAAAAAGAAAAATATCAAAAAATGGGCCATAATATCACAATTCGATATATTCCTACTGGCGCTACTTCGCTCGTAGAGTCTCTGATACCTTCTTTTTCGGCTACATAATAAAGGTTATGAAATGGTTTAGGACCTGAGTGATGGCGAATAATGTGGCATTCAGCATGACCCAGAGGGACAATATACTGAAGGCGCTGTCACAAATGTGCCGGATATTTTCGAATTTTTTGGAATACTTGTAGTATGAAACAGGCTTCATTGATGGTCATTCAGCAGCCTCTGTTACTCCTTTTAATTACGTGTTCTATCCTAACATGATTGGCTGTTTTGTCAAGGGTTGTAGAGAAACAGCAACTATTAGTTGCACATTTTATAGTTCTAATTCTGCCTTCTCGCGAAGAACGGATATGAAGTGATAGCTAGGTGTTAGTCCCAATGCAAGTTCGAAAAATCAGGTAAAAGCATGAGTTAGAGATGGGGCAAATATTTTCGCATGCACAAGAGGCGAACCCTCATGCTGTGCCCTTACAGCAAAAACTTCACCATGAGTCATCACCTCTCGTTTTTCCTGTCACGATTCTGCGCTTGTGCATTGCCACTCACCACTGTGCTGCACCACTTCACACACTACCTGTGAAATGAAAGTAGCAGTTTAGATTTTTGTATATGTGAATAGCGTTAGAGACTCTATCGATCTGCGTAGATTCAAAGTCCCATGGTAATCTGGGGAACCTTCCTCGTTAGAACGAAGATTTAGGCGACTGACTTCCTCAAAGGACACTTGTCGGGTACACCTGTCACTTTGACCATCAATAATGTTCCCTCCCTGCCCCTCATCTCATAGAACTAATTTCCTACATTTACTGCAGAAGGGGCCATGAATTTCCTCTGCTAAGGCTCTTGAGTCACGGGTGCTGCTATTTTGAACACGGCCTCCATGTACTAGAAGCCAAATTAGACATTCTACCTTTTATTTTTATTTCTTTTATTCTGTCCAGAGACACTACTCACGAGATAGCACTGGATCAGACCAAATCTAAATACGTAGCCGGGACCGGCCACTATATAGGCACTCGAAGGGGCGCAGCCGGAGGCGCCGCTGGCCTCTAGTCTTCAAGGAGACTACGTCACTTTTTGAGGGAGCCAGGCACCGGCTGTGCAAGCGCGCGAACCACGTATCGATCTGCTGAGCTCACGTCCCTATTAAGAACATATAAACCTAAAAAAGAGAGCTTCAAATCATTGTGAGACCAGCAACGTACCACTAGTGCGACTTGTGCTATGAATTTGCCGGCAATCCTCTTGTTAGGTCTCTTGTCGTCGGATCTTGTCAGCTTCTATCACTTTCTGTCACCTGCAAGTAGTGATCCTCTCCTGCCCTGTAGATCACCTAACAAGGGAAGCCCAACAGATCAATCCGGCCATTTGCAATGAGATGTATGTGGACGTGTCTTGAGCCGCTGAATCCGAATCTGCCCTCGGAATTTGCGGAACGATTCTCTGAAGGGAGTTACGGGCATTTTTTCTATGCTGTATTCGCACAGGTTCAGGAGGATAATCAACCATGCCGGGTGGCCGATGGTGTAATTTACAAGCGCATTGCTTCAGAGGCCCGAGGCCACATATTGGATTCCTTGACTTTTGCAAATTTTTGCTTCTGTTCTAAACACTTCGTAAGAGTCCCAAGAACACTTCATTTTAGATAACTTGCTTAGTTCTCTAATTATATGACATGGAGGAATAGAATTCTCCATTGATGTGAGCTGCTCATACCGGGTAATTTTGCACAGATCACGTGGACAGAATTTTTTCGGAATTAAAAGAATACCTCTTTAGCACTCTCTCCCTCTGCACTGGTGGAGAATTGTAATAGTACCGTATGTGGAAAGTAATTCTTTATATAGTTTCATTATTGTGAGAATTTGTTTTTATTATTTCGTCCAAGAGACCACATGAGTTTGAAAATCATAATAGTTTATGGAGAAGCCGCTGGTGGTGTAGGTGAAAGGAAATGATAGTAGCTGATAGGATCCGATGACAACAGACAACAGAAGAGAACCCGGCAAATTCATAGCACAAGTCGCACTGAAAGTACGACGTTGGTCTTAAGGGTCTACAGAGCAGGAGGTGAGCACCACTGACAGGTGACAGGAAGTGATAGCAGCTGGTAAGATCCAGCAGC